CGCAGGACTAAATTTCAGGGTTCGAGGCTCCCTCGGTAAACAAGACAAGTCGTACGTTTGGCCGTGGCGTTGATTTAGAAAGGGGCAGATCGTCAGGTTGAGGGAGAAGCCCTTAAATGACGTGATTTAGAAAGGGGCTTAGCGGGGGATGGAGGGAACGGCCCCCAAAGAACATGATTTTTAGAAAGGGCAGAAGGTAGGGGTGGTTAGAGAGGCCTTAAAGAATAATATTTAGAAAGGTCAAAAGGTAGGGTGGTTAGAGAGGCCTTAAAGAACGTGATTTAGAGAAGGCAAACAGCGTAGGGGTGGTAAAAGAGGCTCTAAATAACGTGATTTAGAAAAGGGAGAGAGGGTAGTGTGATGAGAGAGGGGAGGGGGGGACGGTGAAGAGGAGTGTGGTAGCCACAGCACTGTCGAGGCTCAGGAGGAAAGGTGAGGTTGTTTGTGAGGTGTTCCGGTGAGCAGTGAGAGAAGTCGTGAGGGGTTGAACCGTGACATTTACTGTCCAACGCCTCGCTTAACAATGCCTCATTTCCGTCCAATGGCAACCACCACACACCGTCAGTCAGACGGACTGAAGGGGGGGAACTAGCGTGTTTTTAATACGTGTTTGTGTGTGTGTGTGTGTGTGTGTGTGTGTGTGTGTAGTCCTTCTCGGTTTTGATATGTACGTATATATATATATATATATATATATATATATATATATATATATATATATATATATATATATATATATATATATATATATATATATATATATATATATATATATATATATATATATAGTATGCCTCCATCAGTCTCAGGAGACTATGGAGTTGCGCTCTGGTTGTCGGTCTGGAGTGGACTCTCCAGGGCGCAAAGCCAGGGTAGGTTGATACGGGAGAGAAGCTGTCACCCATGCAGCAGGTCCTCCCCCTCCCCCCCCTTTCCACGGCGCCGAAAAAAAGTATACGTATATATAATATGTATATGTATCAAATGTTGATTTGTACGAGCTTATACCTTGGGTATATCGCTTACATGAATGAGGTATAGTAGAGAGGGGCCCAGGATTGACCCTTAGGGAACTCCACTTGTTATATTCCGTTATCTCGAAACCTCTTTTCTGATCGTGACTTTGTTTTCAGTCCTTCAGGTACTCCCTTACCAAGTTCAGAGTCTTTC